TTACTTTTGCTCGTTCCCGTTCCACTTTAACTTGTGTTGGGTCTGCTATAATGTACGTCGCTAGTGCGGTGACTTAAGAAAGAAATATTCGGATGGAAAACGGCATTTAAAGTTAAGGACGAATGTGCTAGAACCGACATCAACCCAGTATGGAAAAATATAAGACAAAGTAAAAAATGGATGAACGTGAATAATATAGTACTTACAAGAGCCGACAAATCGAAGGACGTGGTAGTCACGAAAAGATCTACATATGATGACCTGTTATTAAAATACGTAAAAGAAACACGATGAGAGAATGCCCACCCACTGCTCTGGAGAGGTTACAGACAAGAGTCAAACGTTTTTCTAACACAACCTTTGCAAAAGAACTCAGAATGAAGAAAATAGTAGTCACCTCCACATAAGTTCCTAGACTGTTTGGATTTGCCAAGACACAAACTGGAAAAAAGCATAAGACCAGTGGTTGATAAATGCTGCTCGCCTACAATAATACTAAAACGATTTCTCAAAGGCTTTATGCATCCTAATGAAGTAAAAGATGCAGTTCAGAAAGTTATGAAACGAAAGAACCCATTTAACGATGATCACCCAGGAAAAAAATGGCTAAAGCTTTTTCTAAAAAGGCACCCTAATGTAGCAGCAAAGAATACAGAAGTGATATCTAAAGCACCAGTAGCAATTTCAAAACAGATGATAAGGAATTGGTTTTAAGAATTAAGTAATTATTTGAGAGAAGAAAATGCAAGTGATATTCTGCAATTTTTGCAAAATCCTTTTTGTATCTTCAATGCAGATGAAACAGGAATGTTGTTTTCTCCAAAAACTGGCAAACCTAAAGCATATAAGAACTTTTATAACACTTGCATCAGGACAAGAAAAACTGTATCACAGTATTGTGTAATTTTTCTGCAAGTGGCCAGTCAGTAGATCCTATAATAGTGTTCCCATACAAGAGAATTCCAAAGCATATTGCACGTTCAGTTCCAGATGGCTTTGCTGTAGGAAGAAAAAGTAAGAGCCACATTTTATGAATATGTTGCAAATGACTTTTACCCCTTCCTTCTGGATAAGAATATTCAGTTTCCTGTATTATTGCTTCTTGATGGACATAAATCCTCTATAAATGAAAAATTGTATAATTTTTGTGTTGAGAAAAGAATTCTCCTTTTTTTGTTTGTTGCCAAATGCAACTGATATTATCCAAGCCCTGTGATCTTGCAATTTTTTGACCGTTTAAATGTCAGAGGAGAAATGTGAGAAAACACAAACAACAATCATCAAAATCAGTTTACAAAACTAGTTTGCAACTTTATTCTTTGAAGCTTACAAGAAAGTCTTGACATTGGAAACAATTCAATATGGGTTTGAAACATGTGGTTTGTTTCCTTTTGATCCAAATAGGGTGGATTAATCAAATTGTATTTCCACTAGGTGTAAGGAAATGCTTTCCGAAAATGAACCTGATTTATCAATTAAGTATGGAGAACTATATAAAGGTGCACTGCAAATGATATTAAATGAGATTCCACTTAATTTGTTATCAGATTTCAAGGAAGCCATTGCATCATATTACAATCAGATAAATTTAGAAAATTATTATTGCAATATTGCTTATCTACGAAACACATTTTTGTATGGATTATCAAACTGATAATTTCTGTAACATCGTATATATATTTTTTTGAATTAAACACCTTTTCTAAAAACTAAAATTTTTATTCCAATTTCTTAATCTGAAATTACATGACTGAATTACATAAAATTACCAACACACATATAATATACAATGGTATAAAATTGCATATAATATCTTAAAACTCTGATTATTCATTACTACTCACTTGCGGTCATTCACTAGCTCTCAGTTGGTCAACTACTAGAGCCATATGGTCACTCACTGGTGATTTTTAAATTTTAAAAACATTATGTCATTAATTTAATAAATATTACAGAAAATTAAAAATTCACTCTTTGAATGAGTAGTGCGAGTTCTTAGTAAACAGCAATGACCATTACTTATGTTAAATGTCTGTTTGTTAAGTGATTATATAGAAATCTCTCTATCGAGATGCTTAATTGATCATTCATACAACTACTCTATGTATATCCACCACACATTTTGTTTCACCAAGTAAGTTTTTATAATTTTATTTTTAACTAGCTGTTACCCACGGCTTTGCCTGTGCAGATTTTGCAATTTGATAGAAATAACCTTCCTTCGGTACTTCGCTAAGATTCTCGATCATTAGTTGTTACTAATTTCGTAAAATTACTGATTTTTGTTTGTTTCAAACTATGGACTGCTAATGCACCTAAATTCAAGTTTCAAATATTATGGGATTCCATAATATCTTTTCATATCTTTGGTTAATAAAAAGAAAGTTGCTGAACATTTTTAAAATGCGAGCGAATTTATATCATGCCACATAATTATGCTTATAATATGAACAAATGTCACAAAATCTGTAAACAATATGGCAACTGTAGCTTGGTACCAACAACTGCAATTATTCTTTACTTTTTGCAAAAATAATTTAAACCTCCAAGTAAAATTAATCAGAAATAAGTATATTGAAAGTGAAATCTTTCTGTATCTTTTATTAAGTCTTTTACTGTAGACCAAATAGCTCAAATATCTGCTGTTTCTATGGAAAACTGGATCCTATTTAAGTGTTAGACATGTGAAGAAAACAGAAAGACTCCACATGGTCAGTCCATTGGTCAGGTGTGCAACTAACTACCAGTGTTCTGTGATTTTATCCACTTGGCCACTGTTGGGCTCATTTGTAATAGGAAGCTTTAAGGAAAAGTTTTGTTATAACATATTAGAAGAGAAATTAAAATTCTTAATTACAGTGTTGCATACATATTCCTATAAAATATAATGTTGATGTAAATACAATAAATTCAAAAGTTTAATCACTTAAATAAAATCTTTATAATTGTACAATGACACCATTGTTGTGTATAGGAAGTTTTGCCTCATAGTTGCTAACACCCTTCAAGACAATGTGCCCACCAGTTGATAAAACTACTGAATGCTGGTAGTTGTGAGTTCATGCCTAACCAACAGACCAACCATGTGGAGTTTCCTAGGTTTATTTCACATTTATAACACCTAGATAGGATTAGTTTCCCTTAAAATATCCTCACAGGAGGCATCTCTCTTGAAAAATTGCCTACATATCATGTTGCCATAGCAAATAAACCTTCAAGAAGATAAACTATACAGAAATTTTAACACCAGAATAGATAAATTACCCAACTTCACTGCCTGTAACCGGCATTCTTCAAGAAGAGGCAATGTAAGAAGCCACTGTTTTAACTTTAATAATTACAGCATTTGGATGCTCTGTGCTGTAAATATGTGAAACAAACTCAAAAGTACCTTTTCCTTATTTTCATTCTTTTCAATTAATTTGAATGGCATCAAAAATACAGAACAGAAAAAATAATAATTAGGATGATGAAGAAACAATATTATCAAAGCATTGTAAAGGTCTTATAATGTTTAAAGGTCATATAAAATTTAAAATTTACAATAGATAAAAATCGAATAATCAATTTCCAGATGTCTCAATGTTACATGTACGCACACAATGACACCTTTTGTACTTATTCCAGCAACTTTATTTAATAATTTTGCTGGAATAATATATTACAGTAAATAGTTTCAGTTCAGTACAAAGCTTACAATGTTTTTGACTGATTGGTTAACACAAGTAGTAGATATAAAATTTTGGTTCTAATAATTAATTAAAATCTATAAAACAATTATTTACTGCTAATTTTATTTTTATATGAACTGAATCTTTAATTTCTTCTATTAATTATTAATTGTTAAGTCATATCCAAAAAACTATTTGAATATCTTTGTTTAAACATTTCATTCTGTAAAATTACTACAGGTAATTTTGGCATAAACATTCCAAATTAAAATGTTAAAATCCCAATTTAATATAATAAGGTGTCAGAGTTCCTATGTAACCTACTTACACGTCACCTGCACATTACCCTTCATTTTTTGCACAAACTTTTTGCCCCACATTTGAGAGAACATCTTCCATGCTGATGGTTGCAAGCAGAGGTGCTTGCAACCATCAGCATGGACATTTTGACACTTGGGACACTTGGAGCAAATGCCTCCCTTTTTTGTCTGAGTTTCCTTTTACCTAATCCCCAAGAAGGCCCCAAATTTCATTATCAACAAACAGAAAATTCATGACTAATAACTTAATCTGCAAATGTAAAAGAAAATAATGAACTAAATTTATTCCATGCAACTTCATCATATGTTGACCAAAATTACATTCCTTGTTTTGAAGGCCAAGATATCTCTGATTGCAACCAACACCACCACCTTGTAGGAGTGCTGATCTGACATTGAATTATAGTTTGAAGCTTCTTGCATAATGTTCTTTTTAATAGCTTGTGTCCGCCTTTTTCACAGTCTTCGAGTGCCACTGGTTGCAAGTCATTAAAATAGCCCCAATAGTTGATTTTATTCTTCAGCCATTGTAAGATAAAGGTGAAAAAATTTCACTTTCATGAAGTCCTAAAGAAAACTGTAAATTGTTAAGTTTGAATTTTGAAGTGGTACTGCGTTAGAAGTAACTACTGAATTTTCATCAAGTTCACTTGTCATAAGCTCTAATTGGAAGAGCCAGAACATATTTCCCAGCACAGAAACTTTATGATTACCCTATACTATTATAGTTTTGAGAATGAGGCACATACTGAACAAACTAAATGTCATAATAGTTTTCTATCCTAATGTTAAATTTTAATAAATAAAACAAATGTCATCTAATGTGAAGTAGATATCTTTATGCTACATGCATCTAATTATTGTTGTGATCATCATAATACAGCAATAATTTTTCAAGGCATACTACAAATAATATGGCTACATAAATTGTTAATGAAGTGTCACCTAACAATAAATTATGAGAATTCATGTCAGATTTAAACTCAAAATAATAAATAAATTTAGAAACCTTTCCTCTTTCCACTTCTTTAGTAGTCATGACAATCACTCTAGTATTCTCTTGCCATATCATCCACCAGAAATCACCTACGGTATTCATTAGGCATCCCTGCGTTGCAATGTAATAAGTTTTAGGTGCATCACCCGGTCCGGTTTCTTCTGGCTAGAATTTATAATTAAAACAACTTTAATTTTTAATCTTAAAACATAAAAGACATTAATAAAAATTAACAAATCATACCCTAATTATATTGGCATTTACATAGTCAGATCCGGGCACATTTTGGTCAACTCCAGTTAGAATTACACGAGTATGATCAACTGAAGGTTTTTCGATGTCACAAAAAATTGCATGTTAAATCTACAATTTAAAAAATCATTAATATATCATGGGTATAAACTTACATGGCAAAATGTTCTTGTAACGATTCTTTGCTCTGTTCTCAGATTTCTGTCCTTCCTTCCTGCTATAAAGGTGCTTACATTCTTGTTGTTGAAGATACTGAAAACAATTGACATATTTAAAAAATTTTTTTAATTGTAATTTTTATTATACACAAAATACAAACCTCAAATTCTTCCCAAAAGCCTGCCTTTCCATTAGTAACACAATTATCCTTGGATAATTCTTTCACACGAGATTCTATCGTTGAAGCAGTTATGCGTGTGGCATTGAACGGTTGTTTTAAATGCACGACAGTTCCAGATGTCTCAACCATGGGATTTTTCTTGTAATGCTCAACAAGATCAGTAAGATTATCGAATTTTTCACCCCCACCAACATCATATTTACCGTCCTAAATTTCAAAACAACAAGGTTAATCATGAGTTCCAGTTTCTTTATTTATCAGTAACAAACAGAGTAAATATTAAGAAAGCCACAGACAAATAAATTAACTAAGCAAACGTGAATAGAAGAGGTAAAGCAAGTAATTTTCATCTATCTGTTGTTTGTTTCTATAAAATGACCAAAATAAATTATAAAATGTGAAAATTAAATGCTATAAAAACAATATAACAAACTTATACCTGACAGCGTATCATGACATGAGTGACTTTATCGTCAGTCCGAACAGACAAGACATAATCGCCTGGTTTACTCTGGCTCTCCCGAACTAAAAAGCTACCATTTTTGCCCTTGTCAATAACTAATCTTTCAGCTTCCTTTCCAGACAATGGTCCATGAAACCACCTAAAAGTCACAGAAATACAATGAACCACCATTAATTTCAAATTTGAATATAATATGTACTAATGACTGTACTAATAACTGCAATAAAAATTAAAGGATTCAATGCATTCATTTTAATTTTGTGACAGTTTTATTCCAATAAAAACAAAATAAAATGCTCCAAAAATATTTACAGATGTAAAAAGTACAATTAAATTATTTACATTTGAACTGTACTTTGTTATACAAGCTGCATCCAGAAAAAAGTACTGTTTAGCTATTTAAAAGTAGGCATTTGAAACAAAAATTATTTAATCACCATTAGATAATACATATCTTAATCCACTTTTCAACATAATTGCCTTGCAAATTGAGGCACTTTTCATATCTTGTCACTAAATTAAAGATAACCTGTTCATAGAATTCCATCACCTGTGACTAACTCTTTCAGGATGTTGCAATGATTGTTGTTGCTTTCTGGTGTCATGTGGCAAATTTATGTTTCGTCACCAATGACAGTTCTTTTCAAAAATCCATTTCCTTACCCTTAATACCACTGCAAAAGTTCTAAGGCTGATTCCATGTATTTTGTTTTGTAAACTTCCATTATCATTTTTGGCACCCTCTCAAACACATTTTGATGTGCAAGTATTTAGTCACAGTTTCATGCAGCAAAGATCTTGAAATGTCAGGAAACTGTAGAGAAATCAGAAATTGTAAACTGTCTATTGGAATGAATCCTATCTTTGACATTGTGTAGCAAGTCTTTATTAACTAGGGATGGGCAGTCACTACACTCCTTGTCATAAACACTGTCCCTTCTTTGTTAAACATTCAAACCCACTTTTTGCCATACTTTCACTTATCACATTTAGTTTGTAAATTTTGTGGTCAAACATTGTTTGCATTCAAAAACTTAATTACTAATCATATTTCACAACTGGCAAACTGCTCAATTATTATGAACATTATAACTGGCACTTTGATCCTAAATGTGAAGAAGAAAAACAAATATGGCTCAGTTACTTTGTTCTTGAGTAGAAGTAACTATTCATGCACATCTTGACATTGCCAAAATGCATGGAAGATATATGCAAATGGTACTTACTTTCTGGACACACATCATATTAATTATTATAACAACATTAAATAAGTAAGTGGTAGTATCAACAAATTGTAATAGCATTTGTGATTATGTTCCTAATCATACCTTATAGCAGAGTTCTGCAACCAGTGTGCAATGAGAGAATGCTAGATGTTCCAAGGCACAATACCTCCAAAAGGAGAAAAAGCACAGTTTATAGTGGACATGTTAATATGATAAATACATGCTGATTCAAAAGGAACAATGGTTTGCCTATTAAATGTTTATTGCCACTGATGTTTGTGACAGAAAGAATTCTAACAAGCTTCAAATTTTTACACTTTTGCATACTTTATAGAATATGTGCACATGTTGACTCACAAATTTGTCTTCAAACAGTCATACTGTTTGAAGACAAGTCATATTTCACAGAATCTTTGCACATGTGAATTTTGTGAATCATGTGTCATAGTTACCATCTTAATTTTTGTGAAGCTCAAGTACATGATGTCTCTGTCACATGCATCTACAATCAGAAAGTCAAGACCCCAATCATATGCTTTTGATGCTAGGAATGCATGATACTTCATTCAGGGTGGTTTATGAGTTGTTAAAAAAAATCAAAATGAGAAATAAGAAAATAATTTATAAACTAATTTCAAATATTTTTATATCATCATAAGTAAAAATACAGTAAATCAGTATTGTTTATTGTGCCATGCATGAGAAAAGGTTGCAGAGCACTTCTTTATAGCAAGCTAGCCTTATATGGTATTTCTGTAAGCATGACTTTGCCCAACCAAAGCTACAAAGTTTCCATTATTTCTAACAGAATATGTAGAATTTATCATAGATAGCAGAGGTTCCAGTGGAACCTTGGCTATCTACGATAAATCCTACATTAACGTGATATTAACATTATGTATTCATAATATTAATATCACTTTTTCTGTGAAGGTGTTTTATAAAAAATATAACAATAATTTTTAATTTTTAAAATTAAACCACTTGTGGATTAGCTTGCATTCATTATATAAAATTTTATAGTATAATAAAAGAATAAAAATCTGGTTTTCTTTGTTACAGCAGTGCTCTAAAAATAAATTTAATATAATACTAATAATTCAAAATGTCAATAATTAGAAAAATATTACATTATTTTGTAAAAATATGCATAAAAACAAGAAATAAGTTGTAATGCAAATTATTTACATGTAAATTGTATGCAATATCAGAGAGGTTGCAGCCAACATTTTCAGCCCAAAACGTGAATGTTGGACATTGAGCACCACCATCTGGCAATTCTAGAAGGTCGATAAGGGTGTTTGCTATGTCTAGCATGACGAGTAGAAGTTCGACTTAAACTTCATTTTTTTGTGTTTGGGATTAAAATTAGGACGTATTTTATTAAAATAACGATTATTTAAGCATTTATGAATAATATTGTAAAGAAACAGTCAATTTTAATCCAGAAATTATTTAATTATTCAATTTTTTTGCAAATGATGTGAATTGCCTATAGAATTTACATATACCAGGGGTGGCCAACCTGTGGCTTGTGAGCCACATGCGTCTCTTTGAAGGATTATTTGTGGTTCTCAATAAATGTACCCGAGTTCCCTTTTCATTTTTGTGTTATTATATTTTAAAAAATTATTATCGTTCCGTATGTGTTTCAAAATGTCTTTTAAATTACTAACAACAAATATGAAAGGCTAAGTTGTAACAAATTTCATTTCCGTCCAAGTTAAGAATGATATGACTCATCGAAAACTGCACGAATGAACATAAACAGTGGCGTAATCGTCCGTTATCGACCGACTCCAGACCGATTTTGAATTTGTAAACTGTCATTGCAACGGACAGATGACATTGTGCTCTGGAGGAAACAATTTGTATCACTCTTGCTACGGATATAATTCGTAATCTGGAATTTTTTGCATACCTTTTTAATATGTATTTAATTGCGGCTCGCGAAAAATTTCAAATTTTGAAAAATAGCTCGAACTATCAAGGAGCTTGGCCACCCTGGACATATACAGTATTTCTGTTCACAATAGCTTATCATAATTCTGTAGGAGTAGGTTTGTTCTTTCATGGCATCTTCCACCATCAACAACGTAATATGTTTGTAAATTTTCTAAAAATAATTTTTCGAGCTGCTTTCGGATTTACACAAGCCACTACTTTCCTCAAGAAAAGGATGAGGTAGTCCTATTATCCTATTGTACAGTAGGAGACACAACGTTAATTAAAAATAATTATTTAGTGTTATTAAACATCCTATAAATACTTTAAAATAGTTTAATTTGTTTATTTACCTTCACTGGTAACATTCGTCGCCATTAAACGTTTCTGCCATTTTTCAATAATATCCCACGAGTCAGTGTGTGACGTGAATGTGTGGCACAATGTGTTTTACTTTGAGTTCAAATGTCAAACATGAACTTCTGCTTGCCATACAAGTTTAACGTTTGAAATTCGACTGCAACCTCTCTATTGTATGTATACCAACTGGTACCAAATGGACAACTTTTTATGCAATATCATACTTATAACTAACAATTTTACAAATTTTTCACTGTACAGTAACTTTTCAGACACTCTGTAGCTATAACAAAATATTTTCTAGGAAAACAAAACTGAGCTCCATGACATAAGTTTTCCTATTTTGGCTTCACATAAAACACAAAATGTGGTGACATGCTTTTAATGTTCTGTCTAAAGCAGTTTAAATCAAGCAGATTGTGGGGAGAATATGCATTGACTCGTGGACTTGGAAAACTTTGCCATCAAATATCACAGCCTATAGACTGAATTTCAATATTCCAGCTCTGTCATGACATCAGCCTCACAAACTTGTACATATTTGCAAAAAAAAATCATGTTTAATGGTCATGTGAGTACTTTAAACTTCAATCATAGACAAAACATTTTCTTACTTATGCAGAACTCTACTCAATGATAAAGTCATATGATATCATTTTTGTTAACTTTTAATCAGTCACTACTTTGATTTGGTTGTGAGTTTGAAATGAAAGATAAAATGTTAATGATTGTAGTAATGACAGTATAAATATCTAATAATAATTAATATATTAAAAAACTTTAAATAATTAAACCTTAACAACACCTATTTATATAAATTCAGCAATTTAAAATTTTAAAAATAAATCAAATTTTAAAATAATTCTAATTCAGTTATTTTACATAAAAATAATTAAGTATTAAAATGAAAATTTAAGCAAATATAAAATTAATTTACACATACATTCATTCATAACTGCTTTTAAAGATTAATTAGGCAATTGTTAAATATTTTGTCGTAATTGGTAATTTACTGTTGAAAGGGAAATCCTGACCTACTTCACGGTATTTAGATCATCATCCTTAATGAACAATGAACTGCTGTGCAAAGTTTTGAAAATATTTAATGGAAATTTTATGTGAATTTATTTATTTACATTCAATTTAATTATTAATTAAATTTACAACTAATTATTATTTTTAGGCTATTTTTATGTTACAAAACCACATACAAACCTTAAGATCAATCCATCAATGAAAGCAATGAAAATTTCAAACATTTTCACTCAACTCCACAAACCTTCATCAAAAATAGCCAAGATCCAAGATGGAATTTTCAAGAATAATTATAAACTTTAAACATTCCATCTTGGATCTCAGCTATTCTTGATGAAAGTCTGTGAATTTGACCAAAAACATCTGAACTTCTCATTACTTTCATTGCTGGACTGACATTGAGGTATTGAGGTTTGTATGTGATCTTGTATTTATATTGTCTAGTTCTAATTCTTAAGTATTTTATGCTGTTGATAATACTGTTTGTATGTTAAAGAAAGTTTGATTTCTATAAACAACTGCTAATTTTAAATGCAGTTGAAATA